CACCTGTTTACAAGGGTGGTGATAGAGATAATGTCAGTAACTACCGTCCAATATCAGTTTTGACGACCCTTTCTAAAATTATAGAAAAACTAATCGATACTCGTATGGTTTGCTGCCTCAACAAATTGAATATCTTGAGTGCTCCGCAATATGGGTTTAGACAGGGATTATCGACTGAGGATGCAGTTACAGCTATAACATCTTTGATAGTTAAACATGTAGATGACGGTAAAAAATGTCTTACAGTATTTTTAGACCTTAAAAGGCCTTTGAAACGGTCTCGGTTCCTACTCTTGTACACAGGCCAAGCCATATGGAATCAGAGGTACTCCTCTTGAACTTATGACAAGTTATATGCTGGGTAGGAAATACCAGGTTAAGTTGGGAAACTACACTAGTGCACTGGTCAACATTACTTATGGTGTCCCAAATGGAAGTGTTTTAGGCCCAACATTGTTTTTGGTTTACACAAGTGAACTCTGTAACCTGAAACTTCATAACGCAAACATTTTTTCTTTTGCAGATGACATAGCTATAGTATTTTTTGGAGAATCATGGGATGAAGTAAGAGAAACATCAAAAATGGGATTATGTACAATCGCACACTGGTTAAATATAAATCTTCTCAAAGTTAATGTTGATAAAACCAATTATATATGTTTTACAAGAAACAAAAGAACTCAACCTAGAGAAAATTTTCATATTAAAATATATAACTGTGGAAACCCACAAAATACGGAATGCTCGTGTGTAAAACTCATAGTAGACCAGAATCTGTCATGGCACTTACATCTGGAACTATTCTCTATCTTCATAAATTCAATCACCCTTCTTCTTATTTCTTTCTATCACATGTATGCTGATGATTTGCAACTTTATACTCAAACATCAATAGATGATCTATGTACAGCAATTGCTATCACCAACATTGATCTTGAGCAGATTTGCGATTGGAGTCGTCGACACGGTCTAATAGTTAACCCGCATAGAACTCAGGCAATTATTATTGGAAGCCATTGGTATCAGGCGAGAATAAATTATGAAGCACTACCTCCAATCTTATTAAATGGCGTTCATATACCATTTCAGGATACTGTTAGGAATCTTGGTGTCATAATTGATAAAAACTTATCTTGGAGCCAACATGTAGGAGAGGTCAGTAGGAGGGTGTTTGGCGCGTACAGCTCGCTCAAACGTTTTAAGAATCTACTGCCGACTAAAACTAAAATTTCTCTTGCGCAGTCCCTTCTTCTCCCATTACTTGATTATATTGATGTATGTTACTCTGACCTAAGTGTTGTCCTTCTGAATAAACTAGAGCGTCTCCAGAATTTATGTATACGTTTCATATTTGGTCTACGTAAGTATGACCATATCTCTGAATATCGTGCCCAACTTCAATGGCTACCTATTTCTCGTAGAAGAGACTGTCACATCCTAACACTCCTTTACTCCATCTTGTTCCTCCCACATACTCCTCCATATCTTAAAGAGCGCTTTAACTTTAACTCTATCAATCCTATCCGTGATCTGCGTTCTTCTCATAACCTATCTTTAATCATTCCGTCTCACTCCACTGATTTCTTAGCCAAGTCCTTTTTTATTAAAGCAATTAAATTATGGAATTCTCTACCGGTAGAAATCAGACGTGCACAATCACGTAACTCTTTTATGAAACAGATAAAAGAACATTTCTTCAAGCTGGATTTTTCCTCCTAAATTATATTGTCTTCTTTTTTATATGAGGTATGTAATATATGTATGAGTATATGTATATATATATGTGTGTATTTCTGTTTTATAGTAATACATTTACATTTATCATAGATCAACCCACTACTCACTCATTTCTTTAATTGGTATAATTTCTTTTAGTCAAGGGTAGCCTGGAAGAAATTGCTACCTTAGCAATAAGGCCGCCTTTTGTGTTTGGTTTTGATTGTAAATGATTTTTATAACTGTATTTGTACGCAATAAAGTGTATTCATTCATTCATTCATTGATAATAGGAAGATAAGAAAACTTATGTGGATTTTCAAAAAGCTCAGACATATTGCAAACAGAGAACTTTTAAATAAAATATATGTCGCTTTGGCACAGTCCATATTAATATATTGTATTCCAGTTTGGGATGGAGCTACAAAAACAAAATTTTTGGAAATTAAAAGATCATAAAGGGCATTTCTCAAGGTTATGTATTTTCTGCCATACAGATTCCCTACTGAACAACTATACATTTATGTCCATCTCCTGTCTCTTAGAAAATTCTATTTTCTTTATTCTTAACTTAAGCGGCATAAATCTGTAGCTTATGACTCGAGTATCATGAATAGAAGGAGAAAAGATAAAGCTATTGCCAATATATAAGTAAAAACAGCATTTGCTACTAAACAATATGAAACACAAACCGGCTATATATATAATATTGTCAATAAAAAACTGAATATCTACCCCCTTAATTATTGTGATTGCAAAAAAACTGTTATGTCTTGGATTAAATCACTAAGCTATATATGTAGATACTGAAAATCTATTAAAATGTATTACATAAATAACAAAATAAGCAGTTTAATAAACCTCATTAAATAATAATATTTAAATCGACTAAAATACTAGGCATGTATCATTTTCTTGACGTTATACATTCACACACACTAACACACACACACACACATACAAAATATTATGAATTATTTGTCTTTATCTGTGCTAAAATTTTATTTTCATTTACAATTAAGACACTGAATGGAGGAGCGGTGATTTCCCAATACAGGTTTATTATAAACTTACCGGCAATCTCACCACACTATTGTAAGCAAATAATTTTTGTTAATGAAATAAAACATTTTTCATTAAAACACTTTCATTTTCAATTCAAACAATGCTGTATAGAGACCTAACGAGGCCGCTTTCCTGTCTTGGATGTGTACCGTCAAACACGCGGAAAATGCTTTGAATCCCTTTGGGCAGTTAATCGTTTAAAGATAAGCATTCCAGAGACACGCAGCTCGTATTTCAGTTAATAAACCTTCATAAACATGTAACATGGAAATTTATAAAGAGTTATACAATAGGTGATGACTATTAACTGAATCCTGAAATACTAGATGATCTCAAGAACTTGAATCATTTACTGAGAAGAGACACACAAATTGAGAGAATTACACATCAAAACATAAAGCCTGAGGGATCATTCAAAGTGGCTCTAATAGTGGAAAAAATTAAACTAATTGGTCTACATTGGTGTGGCCCGAATCTCAGGTCAATGCATAGAATGAATGAACCACCTAGTAAATTAATGTGCAGGAAGAGATGAAGATTGGTAATTAACTAAATTAAATTAACCAACTCTCTCAGAAGAAGGTGAAATATGAGAAAATTCAGCTCCAAATGAATTGGAATCTTGAGAGTACGTAGAAAAGTTAATACAAAACACCTTTTTTTTATTAGGCACGTGTGAATGTATATTTATTTGTTTCTGAATATGCATAGCATTGATATAATAAATTTAGTTTGAACTATGAACTTGGCGCTTATTTGAAGACTATATTTTTGTAACCTTTAAAAACTACGTTATTATGAATGGACATTTACAATTTATTTGGATACCGCGCTGGCAAGAACGTTTTGTCATATGACAATATAGATGAGATGAACCTTTGTATAAGAGTAAATTCTAATTAAACACTGATTTTGGTGTTAATAACTTTACAATGGGCCATAATAAATTTGATCACATGAGTTAAAATTTTTTGACTCAGTGAAAATGAAATTGAAACGTATGAGTGAACATTATAACATTTAAAATAAATCTAATTATTTTAAAAACCTATATAAACTGATACCAAAAGGAATATATTCTTTTAAACAAAACAATACGGGAAATAACTATATTATGTTGCTCTAGATATTACATTGGAGTATTTGGGGCAAAATATACCATATAACAAATGGGTTTTTATGTCAGTTGAAGGACGTGTATTGTTACCGTCGACAGCTATTAGAAAAAATAAACGTTTAGATTTGAGATAACCTAAACCACATGAAAACGAATACGGTCACCAGATTCAGGTTAATTTATGACGATAACTAAGGATTTAAGATTAGGTAGTATTTTCTGCACGCGTAGTTTAACGAACTCAAGAAGATTTTGTTTACAACTTTTACGGATCGAGTGTAAGATAGTGTCGATGTCTCCGAAGTTCTCCTTCTACGATCCTGGATTCTTCCCTCCCTAGTGAGGGCTTTTATACATATAAAAAAATAACGAATGAAACATGTCAAATTCGAGAAATCAACCTCGTGTGTTCATAAGTTTTGAGACAAACTTTTTACTGAAAAAATAAAATAAATTGTTACTGGCTGGTGATTATTTTTTTACCGATATTTAATTTGGAATATTAACTTTTAGTTTATTTGTATCGTAAATTCTTTTGTTTGTATTTTCTCGCGATGGATGGAACGAAACAATTACGTGCAACTGTCATTTCGCTTTTGAAGGCTGGAAAAAATCCTTATTCTTTATGGTCTGAATTAGAGCTCAGGGCGTGCCAAAAGTCCCACTCAAACTTGGTCTCACTGAAACGAACTCTTGTTCGAGAAGCAAAACGAATTCCACTAGAAAAGATTCATACCGCCATTGATTACTGGCCAAATCGTGTAAGGACCTGTATTAAAAACAGGGGCGGTTATTTTGAATAAAATATATATTTTATTGTTGATTATTATCTATTGATAGTTACTGACAAATTTTGAAATAAAAATTAATTCTTATTAAAAAAGTTACGAAACTTTATTTCGTCTCAAAACTTATGAATACACGAGGTATACTTGCTAACGATAAAAAGAGATACATTTTCTAACTTTGTTTGTTTGTTAATTAGAGGTTATCTTCGGAAATACTGATTCGATCATAAAATTCTTTCACCTATGGGAATTTATATTCTTGGTGTGCGGCGGGTTTTGCGCGATACGCGCCACACACCAAGGGACGCGGATGACATAGGCTTTAATTTACTCAGCCGAATTTGGGGAACAGATTCTATTCTATAATTTTAATGACATGTCAAAAGAAAAAAAAAGTCTAAGTCTATCACAATTAACGGTTTAAAATAAAAGAAATTAAGAAGTATTATAGCTAAAACTTACCATCATACACAACTCCTCGGACGATTTCCGCCGTTTCAAAAACAGGATGGCTAACTGTCAAATTGACATCACTATCACCGGTTCCGACCGTAACTACTTCGTCACTATCGCCAGGGATCCTCGCGAAGGCACATGCATCACCCATCACTGTCCTCTCACTAACACTGATATCACTAACTGTCGTTAATTCTATATCCTCCAGCATTGTACTGGTGTCATAATCAGGTTCTAAGTTAGTAGCAACTTTAACAGTAGCCTCTGCTTTAAGTTCTGTTACATCGTCTGCGTTTAGATCAGGTGGCCCGGGAGATCTTCCAGGTGCCGGGTCACCACTTGGAAGGCTTAAAGTTGAACTATAAGGCAGCGTAACTAGTATTAACACTAATATACTCAATTTCATTCTGGTTGGTGATTTCTTCAGTTTTCTTCTTTCGATCATTATTGGGTACCAACGCCTTGTCTGTGTTCCCATTGCTGTTTCTTTTGTCACGTTTAAGTGTTTGTGGATTTTTTTGGTTTCTTAAAGAATGACACGGGGATCTTGTTCATGATGATATTTGAGTGTACCTGTAATATGAAAAAAGGGTTATTGCAAAAAACGACATGTAAGATAGAATTCTGATTAAGAATATATACTATATTACGTAATATATTAATTAAATTTAAAATCTTTCTAACATCCATCAATTCGTTTTGATGTTGAAATATAAACACACAACCCGTCATACTTATGTATAATCTCAGTATAATGTAAGATTCATAGTTGATGGATGATGATGAAATAAGAATTACATTTGTGGTCGTTACTGTCAGGCCGTTGTTATTTATTTAAAACATAAACAACAGCTTATTAAAATTCACATTAAAACATCGACACTATTACCTCTCGATTTATATGCAAGTTAAACCAAATTTGATCAATTGTTGAAACACATAATTTATTAACTACATAAAATAACACAACTGTGGATAAATTTTTATTGTCTATGGGTAATGCGAAGCTTTCTTCGTTCCAAAAACCCCCCTTAATCCTAGGGTGACGCTTTTTACTATGTGTTCAAATTCCTAACAGCGTCCACGTAATTTTTATAATTCATTTTCAGAATGTAACCCTCGAAACCCGTGGCGGTAAAGGACCATTTGTGGTGACTTGTCAACCCCTGCTTAATATCGCACACCCATGTTAATACAGTCCAAGTCTATCAGTAATAGCTTTATTGAATAACAACCTCTACTATTATATATGCGACATTAATGATGTCTCCACATAATGGGGAAGACAAAAAAAAAAACATTTATCGTCGCCACTTTATATATAGGAGAGATCCTAAAAAAATATTTTTCACTATTTTATTTTACCACTTTGTCGGCGTGATTAAAGACGGTGTACTCACGTTTAATTACAACTTTCTTGAAAATATAGTTTTTTGAACTAAACCACGAACAGACGGACGGACAGACAGATTGACATGGCAAATATATAAGAGTTCCTTATTGACAATGGAATCCTAAATTCGTATTTTGGTAGTTGATAAGATAACAAATAAATAAAATTTAAGTTAGTTTTAAAGTTATTAAAATTTTACACTTGTTTAAAAAAAACAAGTGCTTGAAAAATTCGTCAGCCCTGTTAGGTCCTGGGTAGCTAGCTCAGTGGTTAGAACAGCCGCCCGGATTGCGAAAGGTCATGGATTCCAGTCCCATCTCAGACTGTCAGGAACAAAGTGGGTTTTTAAGCATTATCATTAAGAATATTTTCCAGTATAGCATTGTGAATACAAAATATATCAAATATAATAATAAATAAATATAATAATAAGAACAAATTGTCATCATTATCGGAATAATTCTTTCCTCTGTTTGGGTGGATTGCCAGAACATTTATGACAATACACTCTGTAGTAGTAAGTACTTAAAGAAGCAACGGCTGAAGTTGATTTTATCACAAAAGAAAACCTGTCTTGGATCGAGAGATTTTTTTATAAATGACTTCACATCAGAGTAACAAAGTTTAATTTATTATTATTAGGTGGATCTCTTATGACTGAGACAATGAACAAATAATCGATTAAAAATTTCACGTAATACGCCATTATCCGAGATTATATATTTTTTCAATTTATTTTAGTTCTATCTCTATTTTTACCTCTATTCGAACTCTTAACGTAGAATTTATCTTTATTTGTAAACATTATTCACTGTATACTATGTTAATAGTATAATAAGGATGTTTAATATTATCGTTATGTACCTACTTTATTATCATTGTATACATAAGTATAAAATATGGCTTACAATCACGATTTTGAAGACATTTCATTCATCAGACTTGGCATCGAAATACGAGGAAGGCCGACTCCAAGTAAAGCGAAGAGGCACGGAAGATATCAGAAGCAATGCCAAGTCCTCTATGATCGAGAAATTTTGTGAAGTCGTATGAGTTTCGAAATATCGTTTTCAAGCTAATATAATAGAACCTCTTATGTAACACCATATAGAAAAATCTTTTTTTCACATTAACCCGATCGGATTAGATGACGACACTTTGGAACCAGCGTGTGAACCACTCGGCTACGGAGAGAGCTTATTAGGAAATTGTTTCTTTAAACTAAAATTCAGTTATTTTTGCTTAAAACGCCCTCTTAACGTAGAATTTATTTATATTAGTATTTAAAATGTGTTTATTTATATATTTATCTACAATGCACAGTTAATATTGCATTAACTCGTTACAATATATATGATAAGATATCTCGACACAAGCAATTAAAGGTAAAACAACATGTACTAGAATAACAAAACGTCGTTCAATATTTATTTAGGTTGAAAGACAACGAATGAATATACTGATTAATTATTAATTTTTATATATGTTTTATATAAGAGCTTGAATTTTTTTATATTAATAATTTTATTGTTCTCAATTTATTTTTACTTTTTAAATGAAATCATTATCTTATATATAACTAGTGGCCGCCAGCGACTTCGTCCGCGTTTTCCATTTTTTCTTCGCTCCCAATAGTTGCAGCGTGATGTTATATAGCCTAAAGCCTTCCTCAATAAATGGTCTATTCAACACAAAAATATTTTTTCAATTCGTACCAGTAGTTCCTGAGATTAGCGCGTTCAAACAAACAAACTCTTCAGCTTTATAATATTAGTATAGATGAAATACTGGCCAGAACAATCCTTCTAGCATGATTCAGTATTCACGCGCGATGGCTTATTATTAGCGTATTTCATGTATAACTTTGGTGTTTCTATACCGATTTCTATGATTCTTTTTTATTGGAATACTTAATACTGTTAACTTTTTAATTAGGGATGACTGAGAGTGTTATAAACGTAAGAGTAGACAATAGACAAATACAATCAGAAAGCTTCGAACTGCTAAGCTATCGGGAGTTACACGTGTTATTGTGAGTCAACCATAAAAGATAGACATATGCTGTCGTGGGATATTTTTTATATAATTTTAAGGAGAACATTTCCGTCATACATGATTTCTGGGTAGCTTTAACCATTAAGGTTGCACACGCGACGGAAGCTTAAGAAATGGAGTAACTTCTCCCGTTTTCCCAACATTTCCCTTCACTGCTCTGCTCCTATTGATTGTAGCGTGATGAAAAGTATACTATAACCAGCTCAGGAGTATGAAAAATAATTGTACCAAGTTTCGTTAAAATCCGTCGAGTAGTTTTTGTTTCTATAACGGTTATACAGACAGACAGACATAAAATTTTACTGATTGCATTTTTGGCATCAGTATCGATCTCTAATCACCCCCTGATAGTTATTTTGGAAATATATTTCATGTACAGAAATGACCTCTAAAGATTTATTATAAGTATAGAAGTAGATTTGTGTACACTCATTTCGATAACAATACAGATAGATATAGAAAAATATTTACAAATGGCTCATTGTTCATGTATGATAAACTTTAAAACTTAGGCATAAAAATAAAATGAAATGAAAACACTTAGACAGTTTTTTTTTTAATATTACAACTGGACAATTTATTTTTGGATCGAAGTTTATGCATGTGATCTATTCATTCAACGTCGCTAATTTCAAATTTACTATTCATTTCTTTTGTTTTGGTTATTTGCCATAATTTTGTACTGGGTATAGGGTTGCCATCTTCTAAAATAAAATCCACTATTTTTTATCCGGATATTTTTTGTTCTGAAAGTCGGCTTTACCAAGCTGACATTATGATTAGGATTCTTATTCACGAGATATGTTAAATAGCAATACTTATGGCTGTACCTCTGAACTCTTAAACCGACAGAGAAAAAGGCAAAGACATAGAGTAGGCTATGAGAAAAGCTAGCTATGATGTGCAAGAAACATCAAGAAAGGGAAAAAAATGAAAACAAGAAAAATATGTCATAAACAATTTTCAAAAAACAAATTTAATCTCACCAAAAAACATTATCATGTAAATTGTTGCCACGACAAGACCTCAAATATAACCTTTAAGATGGCTCAATAAGCACGCATCAAAAAGTTTCATATCTCATGTAGAGCCAAGCTTCTAACTCTACACGCCATAAGTTTACAAACCCTAACTTATGAACTTTACACCTTAGTCAAAATATGTCGCTTGGCCGTTTTACTATCGTCACATCCTATGTGACTTATACCTATATAAGTTTACTATTGTTATATGTGCATTGGTTTTCTCCAATATGGCGTGTTAGTGTTAGAAGCATAGCTTTATATGAGATTTGAAAACTTTTTGATAATGTGAGCCATATGGTTCCGTCTTGACAACATTTTACATGATAATGTTCTTAGTGGGATCTATTTAACCGTTATTCATTTAAAATGGGTGATATCAAAATAAGTCTTCTCTCTGTCAATATGCAAGAATAACATTAAATTTGTAATTAGAATATGAAGATCCTATAACAATATACGTACCAATTAGAATATTCTTTTAATCTCCTATATGCACCATAGAGTTTCAACTAAATAAATCTTCATTACCTTTTGAAGTTCATTTTATTTAATCGAACCTCTTAGCTGCTGCTTTCGACGCTGATTATTTTATAGAATAGCAAAACTGAGCACAATTCATTCTGATACTACGCTTTGCTAATCCCGAAATATTTCACTGAGAAAAACAAAAATCTTATATATACTCTATAGGCTGTTTGTTAAAACGACCTAATGTCGTAGATTTAAGAGCTATTTTTCCATGATATTTGACTTCATTTTGCCGAAACCCTTAAAAACATGTTTGCACAAACAATTTTGATTGATATTATTCCTATTCAAAGATTGCAGATTAGAGTGGGCCGAACTAAGGGAATGAATTTATTATGATAATATTCGTAGAAAGGGTGTCTGATCGGAAATTAATATTGTCTGACAGAGTTTTTTGTTCGCAGGATTTATTTATTGCGGGGTGATGTTTATTTCTCCTTTAAAAGTATATTAAAAAAAAAATTACAACGTTCAACGTTGTAATTTTTTTTTTATAATCAGTATCTATTGTGAGTTAATAAAATATATCTATTTTCATTCTTGAATGTTATATGGCGCTGAGATGCTTGACTTGACGCAAATCTTCCGTTAGATTTGCGTCAAGTCAAGCATATCAGCGCAAGTCACCAAGCCAATGTTCACAAAAACATGGGCCACATCCAAATCTACAAACCTTCGCTTTCATAAATTAATAGGTAAGAAGTAAGATAAAATTCATATATTTATCGTAATTATCTTATCTATAATAAACATATGTTAATTGTTGAGATAAGTTTAAAAATATTAGTGACTTAGCACAATTGGATCATTAAAGACATCTGAGAACCGTTGTTATTAGATGAATCGCATAATGATATATGTAAAGACATTTATAAGGCCTTATGCACCATAGTCATAATTTTATACCGACTTCAAAAAAGGAGAAGGTTCTCAATTCGACTGTACCATGTTTTTTGTGTGTTTGTTACGCGATAACTCTGCCATTTGTTATAGGCACGATAATTGTTTTTTTATTTTTATTTTATAATAATACAAAATATGCTTTTCACTAAATATTATCAAAATATTTAGACATGTTTATATTAGCGAAAAAAACAAGAGATAGCGTATTTGTAATATGTGAAAAAAAAATATTGTGTTTATTGTATTTATGTTTTGGTTTTTGTTACTTTCTTGTTGAAATTTAATTATGAACAGATTTACTTTTAATTATATGCGTTTGTCAGATTTTCTTTTATAGTCCGTGTTGTCACTGCTGGTTCCAGCATAATACTCGTACCAGTGTAACGGGCATCATCCATTACTTATACTGAGCTGTGGCTAGTTTTTACAACACACAGCATTGCAATATTTCTTTGTTATTAGTATTATTATCTAGTATGGTTGGTTACCTTATGCTGTGTAGTGTATGGGGTGTGTGTTGTCAAAATAATTTGTTATTCAATTCTATTCTATTTTGCATTCATTTAAAATCCGAAATGAGGGATAGTTTTATTAAGTTTAGAAGATTTTTTTTTGTAAGAATGTAAAGAAATAGAACCATGTGTATTACACTTTATAATTGTACTTGTATAAGAACCAAATGCCGAGATAACACTTCTCATTATAGTAAATAGATTTGCCTGTGAAGTCATGGCGGACTCTGATAGTTGTAGAAGTAACCATATTCGCCATTCAATACATATAGATGGTAATATATCCCCGACTGTGGAAAAAAGTATTATGCGAATAGTGGAAAAAGAAGGCTTTCTGGAATATACACTTGATATTCGAAATATTTCTACGAATGGTGGGAATTATTTAGCTAATCTACAAGAGATAGATGTTAAAGGAAAAACTGAATGTGGAGAAAAAGAAATAGATCTGTTTGTAAAAAATAAACTACAAACTGATTCAGTTCCATTGCCTTTAGATGAAGCTTATGAACGGGAAGCGTTCTATTACAACGAATTAGTGGAAATATACGATAAATTACAAGAGGAAGCCAAAGTTCCAGTTGAGGAAAGACTTGAAATAGCGAAAAGCTATAAGGAGTCTAATTCAGATACTACAATACTCGAAAACTTAACCAAGAAGGGTTTCAAGACTTGCAGTCGACTCCAACCAATATCCCAGGAATTCGCTGAGATATCCATAAAACAACTTGCTAAATTCCATGCCTTATCTTTTGCATTAAAAATTAGAAGACCGGAATATTTTGAAAGCAAAATAAAAACATTAAATAACTTTATGCGTATAGACACAGAAATGGAGGATTATATAGACAAGATATGCAGTACAGCAGCGAGCTCTTTAAATAATATTGATCACAAAAAAAGATTGGAGAAATTTTCCACAAAAATGATTGACCACTATAAGACTTTAATCAACCCTCCAGATGGTTTGGCGACGTGCTTATGTCATGGAGATTTTAGATCTAACAATATAATGATTTTGGAAACGGTAAAGTGTTTTTTTAACATGTTATAAATTAAAAAAGAAATTTCCATCTATTACATTATATACTAACTGTTTTATTAATATATTTGCAGGAAGGTGCAATAGACAAATTGATTCCTGTGGACTACCAACTTATAAATTACGGCTGCCCAGTAATAGACTTCCTTTACTTAGTTTTCACTGGTTCGGATCAGAAATTAAGAAGAGACCACTTAGATGACCTTAAAGACTTATATTACAAGACATTTGAGAATTTCCTTGTGCATTTCGACGTTAGAGCCCAAGACGTTTACTCCAGAGAACGATTTGAAAAAGAGTACTGGAATTTTTTGAACCATGGTCTTTGCTCTTTCTTAATAATCGCACCATTTCTCTTTTGCTGTGATGATGAAATTCCTGATTTGAACAATGGAATAACAACTATAAATCTTAACTTTAATAGCCCCACCTGTAAAGAACGACTTTGTGCATTAGTCGATGATTTCGTGCAGTGGGGTTGTTTATAAATATAGTACACTAAAAAACTTTACTTATGAAATCTGGAGTAGGTAGAAAAATAATATAGTTTATAACTTGAAAATCGAACTAAATATAAAATAAATAAGTTCTACTATGGCTTGGCTAAATAATATTCAGCGGTTAATTGTGTGTACAAAATATATTTATTTAGAATATTTTCATCAAGACCTTTAATTTGATACCCATATTACTATAATCAAAGAAGCAAAATTTTATACTTTTTTTAATAACGTCATACATCCGCCATATTGAATATATATTTTTTAAATATCTAGGCTAAGCACTCAGTATGATGTGAAGTTTCGAATCATATTCGTTAAGTCTTTCAAAAGTTATGATAAACACAATACACTCCTTTTTGAGCAGTCGTCTAAACAGATAAAGGACATATATTACTGAAATAGATACTGAAAAATTAAAAAAAAAAAACACCCGTCTCAAACACCCCGAGATAGGACTCGAATCTCCAACTGTTCGCAATAAGGCAACTTCTCTTTTTATTCATCTTCCATTAAAGAATTTAATTTTTCAATATAACATTATGAATATTTATCAAATGCATACCTATATGTTTACGTCATGCGTGCACGAAATATGGTATATTTAATAAAGACTCTTGTCTAAAATCTAATTTACATTGTAACTTTTCTGAAATTGTTTGTTGGTAAAAACAAGCCAAGTCAAATATTCAGCAAATAAAATTAAAAATATATAAAATACTAGGCAATGTGAATAAGCAAAGACAGAGGTAACATCAATTTAGCATAGTCGCAGTAATAATAATAATAATATGTAAGAAAATTTTGATTTTGTTTTTATATTTATTTTATATTCTTTTTAAATTCGAATTAAATTCAATAGGAAGGTTATAAAATATCCTATTTTTTGCAAATTCTTAATTCTTCATCCTATGGCTTCCACAGAATTATTACTAAATTCTGTAGTCTTAGGTTGCTCGGTGGCGTAGAGCGTCGGTCTGTCACGGGATGGGTGACCAAAAAAATATTATCTCGAGCTACTTCGTGCTTCGGAAGGCACGTTAAGCTGTTGATCCTGGCTGCATTTGCAGTCGTTCATACCCTCCAATCCGCATTGGGCCAGCGTGGAGGGTCATGGCCCATCCTCCTTAACTATTCATAAGGAAGGCCTGAGCCCCTGCAGTGGGAACGTAAAAGGGCTGATTATGATGATGATGTAGTCTTAAGTGAACACGTACCTGTAAAGAGTCCGAAACATCATTAACAATTTTTACTAATGATTCATTAATTAATTATGAAAAATATTTACAAAACTTGTGACTGTAAAGATAAAAAGAGAAATTAAATGAAATCGAGAGGCCAGCATTTTTTTAAATTAACCACTACTAATAAGAGGCACCGTTATGGAAACTTAAGGGGGGCTCCCATAAAACAAACGTGATTTTTATAGATGCTTTGGAACTCTTCGTGCACGACTCGGACTCACATATGGTCGGTTTTTTCATAATCTTGTCTTAGACTACATAGACTCACATTAAAAGTTTCTGGAATAGGCCACTTACATAAACAATATTTAAAAAGTTTTACTCTATTACAAACAAATATGGAGCTCTTTAGCCGTAGAATACAAATTTATTTCACCTGACTGTCAATTGTTTTCACATTCAACGTCATTTTAAAAATTTCGTGATTGCAATAAAATGAAGTCAACTCGGGAAAATTGTTGATGCGTAATTTTCTACTTAAGAACATGATAAGTTGGGATCATTTACTTACCGAAAATTACTGACAAACACTGTAAAAATAATAGTAAGTAACTTATCATCTTGTACTACGATAACGTAAATTCCCACACAGCCAGACAGACCAAGGAGTCTTTGAAGGTGAAAAACGTACAACTTATGATTCATCCAGCACACAGCACCGATCTATGACTTAGTTCTATTTCCAAAAATCAAAAAAACCGATTACGCGAATAACGTCTTTCATCACCATAATGGTTGTCGAAGAGTACGAAAAACATGTATCTAACGTAGGTCAGAGTGGCACAAATGTTATCAAAACTGGTTGAAATGTATAAAAATGTGAATTGACGCAAAGGGAAGATATATCAAGAAACAATAAATTAATTTTTGATCAATAATTATATTCTTTTTATTGATTCTGGAAATTTTCAGTGCTATCCGCATATAAAGCATTGCTTATAAACCATGTGTGTGGGTTTTTTCGTTTTAGGCACAAAGACTTCTTGAACCTCATAAAAATAGCATCTAGAATCTTTATACCTTTATCAAAATCATAATTTGTTAGTCTAAAATGTCCATTACATAAGCATGCCACTAACTAGACTAACCGGAGCATTAGTTAAAATTTAATAGTTTTCAATAATTTATGAGCCTTTTTCGAAACTTTCTTTGTTAGCATTATCTTCACAACTCACTGATGTTCTTTGGTCTCTTAACTGCAGTGCATATAAAAACAACGTATGATTTGACGCGTCTGTACCAATTGGATTTGAAACGATATAACTTATGAATAATAAGCAAACATTGGCAACAATTCTACTGCACAAACAAACAAGACTAAATTTACTTTAATCCTGTGTTATTGTTTGTTTCTGATGAACTCACAGGATAGATAGCACTCTTATATTAGGTCGGTACACTGATACTGATTAAAATTGGTCGGAGCTAATTTACGTTATAAAGTTTAGAAAAAAAAAACAACAAATTATTTATTTTATTTTTATTATTTATAACACAGCTACATCGCTCGCTCTGTAAACTTCCTCACATTGATACCTATAGTCCAGATATATATTTAAGCAAGAGAGTCAACGTTCCCTACTAAATATATTGCTATTGCGTTTGCACAGATGCATCTATAATAACAAATTTTTTGATTGTAAAGTGAATCTAAAATGTTAATCTCTGTCAGTGGTCACAAAAGTGAACGTACGGAATTCTTACTGATCGACGACGTGCTATTAAATAATAATATATCCTACTTGTGAAGCACGATGAACTCGAGGGTCACGAGCATCGAATTAATACAACACCTATATTAAAAGTTAAATAATCTATTCGTAAAATATCCGACTCTCGCTCGTTTTACGAGTTCGTCATGCTATGCGGGGTACACTAGAAAATCCAGTCTTTCATATTTAAAGCTTGACAAAATAAAAATAAACCACGATGCCAAAGGTTATTTCAAATTAGAAAATCTATATATATTTATATTTTACCAACTGTTGTCCCGCGACTTCGCACATGTTGTCGCACTATTATGGCATATGACGTAGTTACCTGTAGGTGAAGGAATTTTTTAAATCGGTCCAGTAGTTTCGGAGGCTATTCGATGTAAACAACCAAAAAAGAAATCAAATAAATATTGGTCATTTTGACATTAAGGTTTATTATCTATTATAAAGAGGAAAGCCCGTTTATAATGTCATTATAGATTCTAAACCTTAATGAGTAGACGTTAAAGTTCGAATTGCAGAATATTGACTCTTGGTAATAACATTTGGATTTTTTTTTTCATGATAAAAAATGTATATCAGCAGTTTATAGACAAACAAAGTCATACATATTTAAATTAGACTTAATTGTACACACATTTCTTAAATATTTTTCAGGATAAATAAGCAATATAAATATAGATAAATACTGCGTAAAGTCGTAAACCATCCTATACGGCACAAGGAAACACACCTGACACTTGAGCTAGATAATGGCAATACAGTTTAAAGATACACATCTTGCGTGTTACACGTGTTACTCATTGAATGAAAGTCGTAGGATGTTGATTATTTGGTACCATATGCTATTCTTGGGTATTTGTTTTAGTACATTTATTATTGCTTTTTACAAGTTCAGATAACTAAAGGAAAAATGCAAACGCAATACAAAAACAAAATTTCTTAAATAGTATAGGTTTCATAATAATGTTCTTTAAACGTTATAATAGTTGAGTATCGTGGTTTGACTAAATGACTGAAAATTATGAATGGATATCTAACTTTTAAAAGCATTTATAAACTTTTTTGTTCTGAAATAAAAAAAATATATATATATATTGTTCATAACATTTTCATTATCCTATGAATCATCCAAATTCAGCACGTCAATAGTTATGGATTACTTCCAATCTTTTCTTTTATAACGCTAAATATTATGTTGTAATAAATAAATTAAGAATAAATAAATAAGATATACAACATATTAGTGTATGTACTATTAAAATTTTATTTTCACATAACTTTATGACAATAATCTCCAATAAAAAAAAAATTTACCATACTCTAATTCATAAATATCCCCACTGTATGAAATCATCCACGACGCCACGTATTCGTTCTTTACAGGCGGGGTTTTTGAAATTGATCTTGACTTTTGAAAGACCATTATTTAACTCAGGAATATCATCATCAGTGCCAAAGAGGAATGGTGAGGCCATTAAGAAAGAGCAAAGACCATTGTCTATACGATAACGGTACTCTTTTTCGAATCGTTCTCTCGAGTAAACGTCCTTGGCTCTAACATTGAAGTGGGCAAGAAAATTCTCGAATGTCTCGTAATATAAGTCTTTGAAGTCCTCTAAGTGGTCTCTCCTTAGATTTTTATCTGAACCCATAAACACGAAGTAAATCAAGTCTGTAACTGGGCAGCCGTAGTTTATGATTTGGTAGTCCACAGGAATCACTTTTTTTATTTCCCCATTCTGTAAATCAATTAATAAAAATATTATTAATCAACTTGTTACTCTTCAGATCGTCATAATTTTATTGTTAGTTTCTGGTTACAAATGATATTAAAAATAGTCGATCTATTAAATATAATCCATTTAATTTAACCTTACATATCAAAATAAACTGTGACTTAAATAAGAGTATAAAATTCATATAACACATTTTCAACGGTAGAAATAAATTAACTGTATTTGCATACCTCTTCTAATATCATGATATTATTAGGTCTAAAATCTCCATGACATAAACATGTCGATAAAGTATCCGGTGGGTTGACTAAAAGCTTATAGTTTTCAATAATTTTTGAGAAAAATTTGACCTTCAATCCTTTTTCATAACCTTCATTTTCCAAAAAGCTCGCTGTTGCAGCACATACGTCGCCCAAATAATTTTCCCACTCTGAACTTAATTCCATAAGATGTTTTATTGTTTTTATTTTGCTTTCAAAATATTCAGGTCGCTTACGTTGTAATGCAAAAGATAAAGCATGAAATTTGGCAAGTTCTTTTATAGATATTTCTGCGAATTGTTGAGATATCGGCTCAAACCTACTCCATGTTTTGTAACCTTTCTTAGCCAGGTTTTCGAGTATTGTAGCATCTGAATTGGACTCCTTATAGCTTTTCGCTATTTCTAGTCTTTCCTCAACTGGAACATTTGCTTTCTCTTGCAATTCATTATAAATTTCCGCTAGTTCATTATAGAAGAACGCTTCTCGTTCATAAGCTTCATCTATTGGTATAGGACACGATTCTGTTTGTAGTTTGTTCTTTATGAACAGGTCAATTTCTTTTTCTCCACTTTTAGTTTTTCCTTTTACCTCTATCTCTTGTAGATTAGCCAAGTAATTTCCTCCATCGGTCGAAATATCACGGATATCAACTTTATAATCCAGAAAGCCTTCTTTTTGCACTATTCGAATTATGCTCTTTTCTACGGTCGGTGATATATTACCATCAATATGTGTTGCATGGAGATTAAGTTCACTTCTACAACTCTCAAAGCAAGACATGACTTCAAATCAAACACTTTACCACAACAAAATATGAGAAATGCTATCTCGGAACCATTTTATATAGGCACAATTATAAGGTTTAATACATATGGTCCAGTTTTTTTATACAGTCGTACACTAAAATAGTTACAAGTTAAGAGCTTAAAAATTGATACGATACTATGGCACTTAATGAGGGCTAACGTGTTTGAATATGCCATTAGAGGCGACAGTAAGGTATAGCGTGAGAACTTCAAAATGTTAAATATCATACGCTGTCGGTGAAAACAATTTTTTCGCTTTTTTGGGGTACCTGATATTCATTAAAGCAATTATAAATTACTGAAAATAGAGCTAAAAATAGAGGTGAAAAAAAGCAGGGTGAAAGAACAGCTGATTGGGCAGTAAATCCATTTGTTGTCATGTCATTAATTTGTCAAACAACGTTGATGTTGGAATTTAAAAAGTGTTTTAACTTAAAATTAATAATTATGACCATTGTACACAAAGCCTTATAAATATATATCTTTGCATGTTTCGTTATGAGAGTCATCTTTTAATAATGGTCATACGTCAGTTTAATGCCAGAAATATGCGAAGTCACTTTACATTTTATTTAATTATCTTGACAATAATACGAAACTATGATGTTTTCAACATAACACGACAAGATAAAAGATTTGATATCAGACTTTTGTTAACTAGTAATGGTTTTATATATTGAATGAACTTAATAACACATAAAATATTTGAACGAGTAATCAACAGGCCGTTAAACATTCTTTATAGACATTTACTTGTTTACACATCTAAGTCAACAGCCAAGTCACATACTAACTAACCTATGAAATTGCCGTTCTGCCGTACTGGCGATATCAAATAAAATATTATTTTGGTTGATAATATTAATTTCAAATTAATTTTATTTTTAGTCATTTAATAGTCATTTGTTTAATAGTTAGTGATTTGTTTTCAACGCATTTGAACATTTTTCATCGCATGGATAAGTTAAAAATTCGAGCTATTATGAAGTATGAGTACCATCGTAATAGCAAAGCGGCACAAACGGCAAGCAACATCAACGACGTTTACGGAGCGAACACTACCAGTGAACACACCACCTGTTATTGGTGTGCTCGCTTCCGGTCTGGAAATTTTGACCTTAAAAATGAACCCGGTGATCGTCCGAAAACTTTAGTCGACAATGACGAATTAAAGGCGACTGTGGAAGCTGACGAAATTAAATCTACGGCTTAATTAGTAACTAGCAGTTTTCGAGGTAAGTATCAAAACAATATCTCCAAATTGGCAAGGTAAAAAAGCTTGACAAACTCAAGCTCAATGATCGCTAGCACGAAGTATGCGTAGAGACTTGCCTTGCAGTGCTATATAGGCATACAAATGAAGGAACCCTGAACCGCATTGTTACTTGTGACGAATTGGACCCTGGTTCAGCCCTCAAACAATTCCCTAAACGAAAACTTACCCCTAGAAAAATGATAGTCACTGTTTGGTGGTCTAACGCGGGTGTAATTCATCACAGTTTCTTACCAAACGGGAAGAGCATTACTGCAGATGTGTAATGTGAAGAACTGAATACAATGAAGGAGAAGCTCGCACGTTTCTAACCAGCTTTGTTCAATAGTTCGGCTCCACTGCTCCTGCACGACATCGCGTGACCTCATACTGCACTGTAGACGATCTCCAAGCTACAAGAGCTGGGGTTGGAAGTTCTCACCAGACCTTGTGCCTACAGACTTATTTTCCAGAATTTGAATAACTTCTTGGCGGGAAAAAAATTCAATACCCGAGACGCAGTACAAAATGCTTTTGAAGAATTTGTTGCCTCCCGTCCAGCTAATTTCTTCAAGAAGGGTAATATTAAGCTACCAATGCTTTGGCAAGGATACATTGATTGCATGGGTGATAATTTTGATTAATGAATGAATGAATGAATGAACACTTTATTGTACTTGAAAATAAAATCAACATAACAAATTAATAACAATAAACAGTACAATTGGCGGCCTTATCGCTAAAAAGCAATATCTTCCAGGCAACCAAAAGTTAGACTGGACAGTTACATAAAAAAGATGGGTAGTAAATGGTGTCCTACACAGTTGAAATAACAATTTTCCATACTAATATATACACACATACATATATAAATATATACATATATAAATATATAATTGTATAATAATAAATATACAATAGCCTAATTTAATATTCAGTAAGTGACAGATAGGTAATGGTCTTTTACCTTATTTTTAAAGACATTCAATGATGGTGCACGCTTTATATCATCTGGTAATTTATTCCAAAGGCGGACAGCCTGAACTGCAAAAGACTTGTCGAGAAACTTTGTTGAATGGATTGGCGTCTGCAGTTTTAGGTTCTCTGATGATCGCAAGACACGGGAGTGCGTATCGTGAAGGTAATTAAAACGTTCCCTGAGATACGTTGGAGAGAAAGGATTAAACAGTATACTGTAAAGCAAGGAAACAATATGGGCATTCCGACGAAGACGAATCGGCAACCACTTGAGCTTAGTGCGAAAATCAGATACATGATCATATTTGCGTAATCCAAATATGAATCTTATACTAAAATTTTGAAGCCGCTCAAGTTTATTTAGTTGCTCCTCAGTTAGATCTAGATAGCTGACATCGGCATAGTCCAGGATTGGTAGAAGAAGAGATTGTGCAAGCGCAGTTTTAGTTGCTATTGGTAAAAAGTTACGCAACCGCCTCAAAGAACCAGCAGCATCAAAGGTTTTACGACTAACTTCCTCAATTTGTGACCGCCATGTTAAGTTTTTATCTATAGCTATGCCCAAATTTTTAACACAGTCACTGGGGGTCAAAGTAATTCCACCAAATGAAATCGCAGGTAAACATGACCAGTCAATTTTATTAGTCACTAGCTGACCCGACAGACTTCGTCCTGTCAAAAAGATTTGTAATGTGGCAGTTTTTTTGCCTACGTATTTAAAAAAATTCTCCTGAACAGAACCGTCACCCTGGTGATAGGGCGTTGTGAATAAAAAATAATTAAATAAAACATATATAAGGATTTAAAAGTAAGTAATCGCTTTATTGTTAATCATGTGAATCATAATTATCGGAACGCGACTATAAACTCCTCCAACTATGTATTCTGTGCTCCAACGCACACACGCACATTGTTTTTTGATAGATATGATCTTTGACGTTAGGAACACACCTACATTGCTTAGACAACAGTGAGTGCTTGTAATTTAATATGAACTTTATACCATAGCAATAAAGCTCAAATTGACTACGTTTTAGTTACAAATCATTTGTATGGGAAAAAGAAAAGGGCTATTTTTAGGGTTTTTCCAGCAATAATTCTAATTTTTCTCGCCGTAAAAACCATCCTTGAACTTCAACGAACATTTTAAAAAAAGATTTGGCCAAATTGGTCGAGGCGTTGTTGAGTTATGCGCTTACCAACACATTTTGAGATAGATAGATTACGGGGCTGCCAGCTACCATGACTTGAGTTTTTGAAGGATAAATTAATAGAAATAAAATATATAGAAAAAACTTACGCTTCATTTATTTTATGAAAATCGGCTATTTCATATGTAAAAACCTCATATAATAATAAAGATATCGCAGTAAAGAACCTTACAAGCGGCTTGAATTTAATGAGAGATTTGTAACAAATGGGATTTCACTTCTTTTTGCAGTAAGCTGTTTTTCGCTTGATTAGTTAACTACGTATATAAAATAACACCAGACCTTTGTGAATTTGCCCGTTTCCACCTTCATCACGGGGTGGTACTCCCAGCTTAAGTCACACAACACTACACAAAATAAGGTTTTTTATTAGTGGTTTCAAATCTTTGACCGGTAGTATATATTTACATTTCTATTTGAGTTGTGTGTTTCTTTATAGTGAAATAAATTGTAATCATTTAGTCATTGATTCAAAAATTGGTAGCAATTCTTCTACATAAAACAAACTAAAGATTTTAGACACAGTTTATGAATGAATGAATGAAATTAATGAAAAAAAAAATTGTACACCATTGAACAAAAAACAAAACAAACATATGGATACAATAAATATAAATGTGCAATTGGTGGCCTTATTACTAAAAAGTAATTTCTTCCAGGCAACAAAAATTATATCTAGATTAGATTAGATTAGGGTATCTAGGATGACTTAAACTTCATTACGATATCATATCTCTACATATATATGTATGTTAATGAATAAATGAAATACATACACAAAAAAATAAGTACATAAATACTATAGGTTCTATAAAACATATATATATATATATATATATAAGCTTTTAGATATAGATAGATAAAAATCAAACGGGATTCAGAGTGAGTGACAGATCATGCTCTTTGACTAGTTCTTTAAAAATGTGCATGCTTTGAGCACGCCTGATGTTTTCTGGCAAAGCATTCCAAAGACGCGTGTGTTCCAATTTAAATTTTTTGTGTTGTACTTTTATTTATACTCTCTCTTGATTTATTATCAAGTATATTAAAATCACAATGATAATTTCATAGAAGTTTTTTATAATCTATCCCTAAATATTTCTTTACCAAGGGTGTTTGGGTAGGTATTTATTTATTTCTAAATAAAATGTTTGTGATCTGACATTGAAGAATCAATATTAGCTAAAGATATTCTATTCTAAGACTTCCACTAAGTTGAATATTTTTATTTATATAGATTTATATCAGGTCTATGAGTAGCTCGGTGGCGTAGTGGATAAGCGCCGAGGCCCGCGATCGTTGTCATTAAGCAACTTTCGCAAGGGCCGGTCACGGGATGGGTGACCAAAAAAGTTTTATCTCGAGCTACTCCGTGCTTCGGAAGGCACGTTAAGCCGTTGGTCCCGGCTGCATTTGCAGTCGTTAATACCCTCCAATCTGCACTGGGCCAGCGTGGAGGATCATGGCCCATCCTCATTAACCATCCATAAGGAAGGCCTGAGTCCCTGCAGTGGGGACGTAAAAGGGCTGATGATGATGATGATGAAGAAGAAATCATTACCTTTTAAATTAGAACAAATATGATCAATAATAGTCTTCGTAGATTG